TAAATATGTGATGGCACAACATTTCAAAAATAAATAAAATGTGAATCGCTGCACATTATGTTCTGTGAATTTTTTAAAAATTAAAATTGATATATAATAGTTGTACATACTTTTGAGATACAGGTGCTATTTTGATACAACGTGTAATGAGCAAATCAGGGTAACTGAGGTATCTATTACCTCAAATATTTATCTTTTTTGTGTGTATTGGGAACATTACAATTCTTTTCTTCTAGATATTTTAAAATATACAATAAGTTATTGTTAACTATGATTTCCCTACTGTACTATCAATATTTTTTCTCTCTAATTGTATCTTTGTAACCCTTAACCAACTTCTCTTCATTCTTCCCTCCCCACTCCCATTCTCAGCCTTAGGTAACCACCATTCTACTCTCTACCTCCATGAGATCCACTTTTTTAGCTCCCATATATGAATGAGAACATGTGATGTTTGTCTTTCTGTGCCTGGCTTATTTCATTCCCATAATGACCTCCATGAAATGTTAAATGGAAGTTCTTGGTTCATCTGTCTCATCTGTTATTGACCAGTTGCAGCAAGAATCAAAGGAGGTACCCATTCTCCCTAGTCCTGCTCCATGCCCTATGCCACCTTGCCCATGTGACTAGTCACCCATAGCCTTCTAACAAAGAGATCTTTTACCTTGGCTTCATATTATCCATGGAGACATCTTGAGGAGTACCCATGAAGAAGCTGTCTGAGGCTACTTCTTTTTGGTAAAAATACAGTTGAATAAACCTTTTGAGAAGGCTGCTTAAAGGAGTGAATAGTTTTGGTTACAAAGCTCTGTGCTGCATCTCAGTTTCCCTCAAAGGCATTAACATCAAGCTAGAATCATAATAGCAAATTTTCAGGAATGCATCTGAGCTCATCCTTTTCTTGTTCTGTTCTCTACAAGGACTGTTGGTTTATGACTCCAATTTTATTATTAATAACTTTGGATCTTAAATCTGCTCAAAACCATGACAATCACGTTCAGATTTTTAACCAACTTCTTTTCCTGACTTCAGACATTCTCTTGCCCTATTCGGTTATAAACAGTCCTGTCCAGAACTCTGGTTTTCATACTACCTCTCGTAAACCATTGTGCTAACTCCTCTTCAGAATTTCCATTACTGACTCATCGCCCTAGAGCTCTGCTAAATCTCTTAGGATTAAACATAAATTTTCTGCAATTCTTATTACATGATTTCCTCGTTCTTCAAAATGCTTGCCTATTCACATCTATACCAGTATAGTATACTTGTTCACAATGGAAACAAAATTATATAGTAGTTTCAACAATGAAATTGTTCACGAATTCTTATGTAATTAGTTTCATGAAAAAAAAAATGGGGTTGGAAATCTACCCCATAGTTTGCCAGTATTCCTTGGAAAACCTGAAATATTAGATAAGCACTCTGAACATAAATTTATATTAAGGAGTATAGTTAACAGAAATGCTACAAAGCACATTTATTAACACTCAGTATATAGACTGTGTTTATATGTTGAAAACTCTTGATAATCTCTACTCTGTAAAACTAATCACTTGACCTGCAAATGCTTGTGCTTTCCTGGCTGGAATTTTGGGATCTACCTGCTGTGGTTCCCAGGACTCCGGTACAGATGCTAAATTCTTTATTTTGCTAGATTTCTGAATGAGAAAATCTTTTGGAATATTTTACTTAATGTGTCCCTTTCTCACAAAAGAACATACACTGAATTTTGATTCTGGGCAGAAAACCCTCACTGATCTCTGCTTTACTGATTTCTTAGCTCAAGGAATATTCAGATGCAATATGTGAAGGTAGTATTTTTTCTTTGGAGTCATAATAGCCACATTAGTGCTAAAACATTATCTCTAATTATTATGCCAATACCTCATTCTGTATCTGACCATTGAGCCAACTTTGAGCTTTACCTCAACCTTTACCTGTTCCTCAGCCTCAACATTTCCTTGAGTCTTCCTCATTACTCTATTCCTAATATTACCTCTTTTCTCCGTTTCCTTGATTCCATGAAGGCATGGAATACTATTTCACTCCATGACTCTATCAACTTGCAATATTTCCTATTCTGTCTTTTCAGCTCCAACAGCAGAACACCACCATTCCATTAGAAAAATGAGATCTCAGTTTGTTTTCCTCTTAGTTCTTATACTCATTTTGGGCAATTCTGGGACGCTTCCATTCTCTCCATGAAGAGTCATTTCTGACTGCCTCTGAGCCACTCTTTCTCAATATTCCTCACCCCTCCCCAGGCCTCTCTCCTCACACTGTCACAATGACATGTGTTGTCTTTCCCAAAAAAGCAACTGTCATTTCTGTACCCACCTTATTAAGCCAGGGTTTTGAACATTTACTTGAAAATTAAAGTTTAACATGAAGAATTCTAAGAACCTAATGATTACATCAGTGATTTGAGAAGGAAAATAAATGGAAGAAAGGGAAAACCCTCAATTAGAAAAGAACCAGTGTGGCTCCTAAAGTAATGAGGATAAATCTCACTGTTCTGATATGTATCTATTTAGTCCTATAACTCTTTAACTAGTTCTTCAACTTGCTATCCAATGATGCCAAATCACTAATAGCTTTCTAAGGATAAGTTTCTCCACAGTTTTGCATATGCTATTCTCCTGAGCAGAATTCTGCATCCCTGTTCCCACTGATTGAACATTTCCTTTGTTGTGCTTTGGACTTCTTGATAAGCCACCACATCCTATTTGAATATTCAGCATAAATGTTACCAATTACTTGGTGACACATAAGCCAACTATTGCTTATTCCAACCACCTGGCATATATCCCTCACCAGTGCGGCACTCACCTCACTCTACTGAAGCAGTTTGTTGATTTGCCCATTAGGCATGAGCTTCTTGAGGTCACAGACTTAATTGTTGTGTCCCAGCTTGTGGCACAGTGCATGACATGGAGCACAGGCTCAATAAATGAACAGTCCCCAGGAAATATTTTCAGCAGCCATCAGTCTGCATGACTCCTTCAGGTTCTCCTTCAACCTTCCAGTTACTTTTGAACGTTTTTTAAAGTCAGTATCTTAGTCAGCTTGGGCAGCTATAACAAAATACCATAGCATAGGTGGCTGATCAACAACAGAAATGTATTTTTTACAGTTCTGGAGACTGGAAGTAAGAGATCATGGTGATACCATGGTCAGGTTCTGGTGAGGAATCTCTTTCAGGTTGCAGATAGCTGACTTCTTGTATCATCGCACGGTGGAAGGAGACTGAGGTAGTTCCTTGCCTCTTCTTGTAAGGACATTAATCCCCTTAATGAGGTTCCACCGTCATAACCTAGTTATCTCCTAAAAGCCCCATCTTCAAATACCATCTTATTGGGTGACATTACAGGTAAACTTGCAATGACATTACAGATAAACAGACACGCTGAGTTAAAGTAGGCAGAATTAGTAATGTCGCACAACCTCAGACATCTGAAAAGGAAAATTAATACAGCAGAAAAATAAGATATCCCATGAGAAAAGAGGTAAGAATATTGATAGGCATTTGGACTCATAGCTTCCTCTTACAGAGTAAGCTTGACATAGTCAGGCATCTTGATGTTTATGCTTTGTGGATATATAGGACAGCTTCTGACTCAGCATGTTAATTCTAGAAAGACAAAAATCTTTCCAGAAAGATGACATTCAATAAATTGCTCCAATGGTCAAATAAGGATATAAAGATAGAAAAAGCATCAACATAAAAATTTGCATTAAGAAAAAAAATAAGTTAACTCTGCAGCTGGAAGGGAAAAATGTCCAATACAAATTCAAATTTTTTTACTGTTTTTTTATAGAACAAGACAGCCCTATACAAGTCCTCATAGCAGGACCACAGCTGGTACCTCCAGCAATGCCTGGGAAGCCTTCGTTCTTTGTATTTTAAAAAAGCAGCTCATGAAAACCCAGCATCCATTTCAAGCAATTGTAATTGGTAAGAACAAAAATTGTGAAATTTTATTGTTCATGAAATTGGTTTTTCAAATAAGAAGGCTTACGCTGCAGAGAGATCTCTTGTTTGTGACACAAGCGTCTTCAGAGAAAGTTGAATGAATGTATGAGGATGGAGTCCTTGAAGGTCAAATTGTTACACTGCCCTGAATGAGGACTTGGCCCTCAACTGCTTGCATGGTATTTGCAAACTACCAGTGACAGATTTTTTTTTTGTACTTTATGTTCTAGGGTACATGTGCACAACGTGCAGGTTTGTTACATATGTTTACATGTGCCATGTTAGTGTGCTGCACCTATTAACTCGTCATTTACATTAGGTATATCTCCTAAAGCTATCCCTCCCCCCTCCCGCCACCCCACAATAGGTCCCGGTGTGTGATGTTCCCTTTCCTGTGTCCAAGTGATCTCATTGTTCAATTCCCAGTGACAGATTTTAAGAAGTCTATGCTATGGATGCTGAATTACTGGACATTCTGCTCACTAGGAAAGTTTACACAGGGTGATTTAAAGGGGTGTTTCCAATACTGCAAACTTTCCTCTTGAAAAATAAGTATAATGTACTGATTATTTTTTTACCTCAGGGATGAAAAAGAATCTATGTAGTGAGATGTGGAGAGAAAAGTAGCCCTATAAAGGTTTGTTTTCTTTAAAGCAACAAGAGAAGAGTAGTTCAAAGTTTCTAAACTTCTAGACTTCGAATTAAAATGGAAGATTCAGTATGGTTATGCCTGCATCCAACTCAAGTTACTGAATCCATAAAATTACAAAATAATAAAGTAGACTTTTAGAGGATGTATCTGGGAAATTTTTTAACCCCCAAATTCTAATTTCACGTATGAGGAAGTTGAAGTGCCAGAAGGTTGTGACTTTTCAAGAAAGTGACAAGAGCGATAACTCACATTTTCTCATTCTAATTACCATGTTTGCTCCACTATGATATATTCATTTACAGGCAATTACACTATTTCTCAAAACCTGGTAAGGTAATTAGATTACTTTAATAATTACACATACTAGAAAAAGAATTAAAGTTCTGGATATAATGAAAAGACTCTCATACACAACACAACTGTAACATAATCCTACACATAAAAGTTTACCTTTTAGTGAATTGTGAATGAAACATTTTGATCTCCATGTTTTTACTTTTTGTAATATTTTCCAACTTCTTTGCAAACAGATTAGAGAAACAAGGTGCTATCTGTTGGGGACATCCATCCAAAAAGTACATACAATGAGCAACACAGTATCACGCATTTTGAATTTTTATCTCCCTGGAACACAGCCTCAATTATTACTGAAAATCATTGAGCATTTACTATGGTTCATTCTTCATTTCTCATCCTTGCTTGTTTCTCTCAGGAAAGGGAGGTTCGGTGAATGTATTGGACCTTGTTTGTTGGTTCTCAGCATTTATTCCCACTTCCTTTCATATAGTTCAGCAATTACAAGCTAGAAAACCACTTAGCACTGGCTGTCTTGCAAATAGGATTGTGTATGCAATTAGGTTTCTGTCAATGAAATGTGCTCATTCAAGATTTGGGAGGCGGAAAGCATGCGGGGGTCATTTCCCCAAAGTTCCAACAAATGTCCATGATGGAGATGACTGCACTCTTTGCTCTGGTGTTCCATGGGTGTGAGGCAGCTCTGACTGTGACTGTAGCACCAGTAGGGTCTTGATGGTTTTCACCTACAGGAGATAGATCTTGCAATCAGTAGTTCACTAGTAAACCTCCTGACTTTTCTTCTCCATAGCCCTTCTAATCATTTTATAAGCACCCAATTCCTTACATTAAATCCCTTACTTCTTGAAAGACATGGAATTGTTTCTCTTCCCTGCACTAACTCCTAATAGGATAACCATTGGAAAGAGAAACCTTCCAGCATCTCAAATCCTTTGCCTGATTTATTTCCATAAATCAACCAAGAGACTAGAAAGGGTGGGAGGAAGACATTGTCTCAGGAGCCTGAACCATGGGCAGAGTCTGGGTTGTTGAGAGAGGACACAGTAATAAACCAAGAGCCTGGACTGGGAAAGCAATTCCTGGTTATTTATTACCTACTGATTTTTGGATAAAGACTCAAATCCTTAAGATGGTCCATAAGAAAGGCTTTTGTGCCTTCTTTCCCAGCTCCATGCTCTGTAGCCACTTGACTTTGTTTTGGGTCCTTGAACCATCATGTCTTCTCCCATTTTAAAGAATTTGTAAATGCTCTAGACTTTCCCTGAAATACATGACTTACTTATCACTCTCCTCTCTTCCCACTCCACCTTTTCCCTAAAGCCCTGCTGTCTGCCTTGGTGCTCTTTACATACTTCATTCCTCTTTTTTTTTTTTTTTTCTGATCTCATTTCAAATTTCAATTCCTCAAGGAAACCTTGCCCTAATCCCAGAGACCAGATGAAGATCTACTTGTATACATTTTATAGCACTTAACACAGTTTGTATTTGTACTTTGTGTACAGGTACCAACTGTGCATTGCATTCTTTCTGAAATCCCAACCCACAGAATCATGAGATAAAATAGCAATAAAATATTTGAAGCTGCTAAGTTTTGGGATAGTTGTCTATAGCAATAGATAACTGGAAAAAAACCTCATAATAATTGTTTTTATTGAAACATTTATTTGTTGACAAGCACTGGTTGAATAAATGAATTTCCAATTAAATAGATACATATTGAAGTAATAAGTGTGCATTCTATTCCTGACAGATTAGCAATGATAGGCAAGGTTGATCATATCTATCACATTAAAAAGACTACAGCAAAATAATATTCTTAGATATCACTGGCAGAAATGTAAATTGGAACAATCTCTTGGAGAACAATTTAGAAATCCCTGTTAGAAGGCTAAACACCTATTTGCTTTAGTCAAGATAGTCTACTTCTAAGAAGGTATCCCACAGACATACTTATATGAGTACAGAAACGTATGCTCAAGTACATTCCCTATGGAGTTTTTTTGTGATGGTAAAACCCCGGAAATAATATAAATGCCTATCAACAGAAGGCTAGTTACATAGATTATGATATATCAATTAAATGGAACAACTTCCCTTTATTGATAAGTGTGAAGTAAAACCTGTAAGTACTGATATCAAATTATCTCTGAAATGCATTGTTAAATGAGAAAAGCAAGATGCAGAATACTGCTCATTGTAAAAATATGTGTCAAATAAATGGATAAGTGGTTTGTGTATAAGCACACTATTTTTAGAAAGCTGATTAAGAAACTGGTGACATTGATAGCCATCGGGAGGTGGAGCAGGGGTCTGGTATGGTGGAAAATTTACTTTTCACTGAGCGCACATTGGTACTGTTAGTTCTTTTTCCACATATGCTTGTTTTACTGTTTCAATCTAGAAAAAGACTCCAGCACCTTATTAATCAAAATTTCCAACTGAAACATGAGTACAAAAAGCTGTTATTGCAAAGACATCATGCTAGATGTTTTCTTAAACTTACAACAGTCATCCCTAGCAAAGAATAGACAAGCTAAGGAATGTTTCAAGGGAGAAGAAATAATTTTTCTCTGGAATTCAGGAAAATTAGCAAACCTTAAGAGTTTTGCAACCTTATTTCAAGCCTTCTAGCTCTTAACTTTTGTGACTCCGTTTTTTTTTTCCTGGAATATAATTCAGAATAATGTTCACATAATCACACATCTTTACATTTGTTTGCAAGCAAAATCCCAAAAGGACTTGCAGGCAGCATTGTGATACTAGATTTGCCTGTAGCTTTCCCACTTTAATCAAAGTTACCACCAAACGGGCTTCTTTTCAAGCATTTCTATTAATGCACCACAGGCTAATTAAGTTTTAAAACCTGGCACAGATTTCTTCACAATTTTTTTAAAATTAAATTACCAGCAAATCCCTCCTTTGCCATTACCTGCCATTCAGTGTCTTTGTAAAATTAATTGGCTTTATAAATAATTCAGATCTGTCTATTATTTTCATGAGTAAATGCAAGATCTCCACAAATCCTATTTGTATTGTCTATTATTTTCATGAGTAAATGCAAGATCTCCACAAAGCCTATTTGTATTATTTATTTTTCAAAAAGCTAAAATGATTGCTTGAATAAGGCATAAAGGGAAGAAAAACTTCTCTATTGAATTAATGTAATGCAAAGATCCAGAACTGAAAGCAATGATAAAAGATATTTCTTGCCCTATTATTTTTGTTTTCATGCTGTTTCCTTCTCAATAATTAAAAAAAGTTACACGAATCTGTTTTCTTTTTTTAAGAAACACAGTTGAAAGTTTTTTTCCTTTCCTTTCCTGTTTTTAGTTTCTTTCTCCTTCCTTCTCTTCTCTCCTTTCAGTTATAACTCCCAGCTATAATATGTAATCACATTCTATTTTAATAAGCCTTGATTTAAATTCATCCTTGAAATTCTTTATTTCTACATGAAGTCTTACTCATATACCAAAATTGACACTGAATGCATCTTTTTTCTAAGTTTTGATCCTCTAAATTCCTTTCCAACAGGATGATAAGATGTAACTCTATCGTTTTCTGGTGTATGTTTTTTAATCATTTTGCACCTACAAAGGTGGGATACTAGTTTTCTACTGCTTCCATAACAGATTACCTTAAACTTAGCTACTTAAACCATATAAATTTATTATCTTCTAATACCTATAGACCAGAAGCCTGACATGGGTCTCACAGTGTGTGTTAGTCTATATTGTCTAGAGACACAAATAAAATTAACCTTCACACTGGGCTAAAATCATCATGTCAGTAGGGCCATGCTCCTTTCAGACAACTCTAGGGAAGAATCTATTTATTTTCTTTTTCCAGCTTCTGGAGGTTGCCTGCATTCCTTAGCCTGTGGCCTTTTTCTCCAACTTCAAAGCTAGCAAAAGTGGGTTGAATCCCCACATCATATCTTATCTCATAAAAGCTGCTTTTATTGAAAAATATATTTGTTGACAAGAACTTGTTGAAAGAATTAATGTCTAATTAAATAAACACATGTTGAAGTAACTAGCATCCATTCTATTCCTGACAGATTAACAATGATAAACAAGGTTGATCCTATCCATCACACTAAAAATACTACGGTAAAATAATACTCTTGGATACCATTGGTGGAAGTGTACTCTTACCTACTCTTTTACTTTTCTCACCCACTTTTAAGGGCCTCTGTAATTACATTAGGCTACCCAGCTCATCCAATATAATTCCATATGAAAACTTAACTCCCCTTTGCCATGTACACTAACATATTCACAGGTTCTGGAAATTGGCATGTGAACATTGGAGACCATTATTCTGCCTCTCACAGGAGATGTTGCACCATGGAGAGTGCATAGCTTTCAGGCTCAGGCGAATCTATACTACAATCCAAGTGTGCTCTCTCACCCAGTAAATGAGTTTAGCCAGCTAACCTCTCTGAGACTTAGTTTTCTATTTGCAAAATGAATTTAATAATTTCTAAATTGTGATAGTTTTTGAGGACTAGGAGTAATATAAAATGCCTGGATTGTGGTAAAAAGAAAGTTAAGAGTGGTCAGTATCATTCTTACCTATTTTTATTTGATCTTTACTTTGTTATGACATATATTATTCAAATGATATTTATTAATTAGTTTGTTATCAGATTATCATGTGTAGAGAATAGTGAGAAGGAGGTACAGAGAAACCTGCATATTAGAAGGGAAGGTGATTTCAATGAGGTCAAGGCCTTACGTGGTGGGATTGATGCCAGAGTGAGTAATCACTGTATTTGTATTGGCCACTCTCTGGGAATATAAGCAGAAGAACAAAAACAAAAACGAAACAAACTCATTCTTGTTGGCCCAGTTTAATTAAATATGCCACTTCCGGCTCTACTCAGTATCCTCTCAATTAAAGACACTCAGAGTTCACTTACTCTAAGTAAGGGACTACACAGGCTACTTACACATTGCTTAAAAAAATGATCTCAGACAAAATGCATGATATGTTTGACAATCATGTTGTGTTAAACTGTATGCTCCAAGAAGGCAGGGCTTGGACATGTCTTGTTCAACACAAATTTCTGGGCACCTTGTCAGGTACCCACCACAGAGTACACACTCCATAAATATTTGTTGGATACAATGAAAAAAAGTAGGCCAAAAACCTGGATATTTAGTCCGTTTACCTGGACTGCATGTTTGTGAAGTTAGCTGGTATCTCTCAGTTGCTCAGTTAACCTCTAAAAGAGTTTGTGCTATTACCCCAAGTCCAAATTAATAAAAGCTTCATTATCGATAATACCTACTATGTGCAGACACAACAAAAGCTTTTCCTGTGCTCTGTAGTTAAGTCTTACAAATCTGTGTAGCAGGTGTTCCTTTCCACATTTGAGAGCTAAGTCACCCATGGGTCAGAGAAGTCATTCAATGTGTTCAAAGTCATCCACCTTTTAATGGCAGACCTGAAATTAAGCCTAGGCTTTTTTTTTTTTTTTATTCAAAAGATCATGCTGTTTGACTTTTGCGGGTTTTTACAAAACAAAGTTTTTTGAGCATTTGTGTTATGTGTTAAGCCGCTTATAAGTGCTGGGAATATAAAGATTAAAATTTAAGACTAGGCTATATCCTCAAAAACACAACTGTAACATGATGTGGTAACAGGTATATTAGCAATATAAATATAGTACTATAGGGAGCACAGAGATTACAGCAATTATTTAGCATTCAGGAAATTAGAA